ATTTATCGGATATCGAAGTCATAACTAAATAGGTAAAAGAACCAATATTAATTGCTGTTGCGGTAACTACTTTAGCAAAGTTTTTAATGCCTGGGTCTGTCATTTAAAAAAATAAACAACTTCAAAAATACGTCACGACAATCGTGTGTGTTATTGTTTGGGCTGGTGATTTCGGTGTTTATTTATTGAAAACGTACCGTAAGTAGCGTTTTTTAAGTTTTCCCTGAATATAAATGTTTATAAACTATACTTTAAGGAGTAATTTCATGGTAAACGTTAGAACCACTCAAACGGAATATTATCATATTTATCCAAGTACACCAAAATATTTCATTAGTGCTTTTTAAGTGCGAGATTTGCGGTGTATTACTACTGCATTTTATTTGAGATGTTTTTGTTGGTAGTGCGGAGGGTATTTATTTAACAATGTAGAATAATAATTTTTATTTATAAAAACTTGTATTTAAACTGAATGCTTTCCTAATTTGCGAAACCAAATAGCCGCCATTTTGCGGTAGGAGGAGCGCATCGCGTGAGCGGTTAAATTATTACTAATATGCTCGAATTTAATGTAAGTAGGTAACTTTATAATGTCTATAGTAATAATTTGGAGATGTTTCGAAGTATGAGATTACAAATATACAATTCCGTAACTGGTAATCCAAGAAGGTAATAACTCATAATATGAACGTGATAATAACAATAATTAATTTCTTGAAAAGGGTACAATACTTAATTGAAATACAGGTTTGATCATGTAATAGATTAACCTGCTAACTTCTAAGCTCTATTGTAGGGGCATTTTAGTACCAGTAGAGCTCTTTGTGAACGAGTTCGTTCAGTAATCTGTCATCAATTCTGACGATGTTTTCTTTGCTGTAATTTGTTTTAGGGCCGTGGTAGCCCAATGGTTTGACCTACCACCTCTTAAGCAGAGGCCGTGGGTTTGAATCCGGGCTCCTCTGAGTTTCTCGGAGTTCATGTGAGAGACTTAATTTAATTTACCGCGTCTTGCACGTTTGCCTGTTTTGCACGGTTTGCACGTCGAAAAAGGTTCACAACGAAAAATCTATGAAGTCCCCAACCGGCAGAGAGAGTGAGACGTATAAATGGGTTGATCATGATGATGATGAATTTGTCAACTGAATAAAAATTGCTGGTTATTCTTTGTTTACGTTTTTTCTGACGCTAAAACCAAAATATAGATCTCTTGAACCCTCCGCCATTAATTAATTGATTTAACATTGATCACTGATCACGATCAGTGAGTAAGTAATGCACTGTTTTCGTAACAAGTCCATCTCATTCAGACCATACCCTCCCCTCCCACTTCCGCTATTACTTTTATATCCATGAGTTAAAGATTTTGACACATTTATCACAATCCGTTATTGTAATAACATCGTTTTTTATTTATTTATAACATACATAGCTTATAATAAGTTAAAAATACATAAAGCGGTGTCGCATGAACCTATTAAAGATTTTTCTGTACACCGCTTAACTTTTATAAATACCTCAGGGGTAGAGGAATTAGCAACGTTGGCGCTAGATGAGGAGGTCTCGGGTTCAATTGCCGGTAGGTCTGTATAGCTTTTATAAATAAATCCGATTATTCAATCGATGTCAGCGGTCTGCATTAGCAGAGTGGGTGCTAAATTTGGAGATTTCGCATTTGAATGCTGGTAGATCTTGTTTAGAAATTTTCTAATTTGATTCTAAGTTTGAGTGTTCCGGAGAGCATCATGGAGTACCTATAGTGATATTGGAACGAGTATGGTATAAGCCACTTTTAAAAGTCTATGATATACAAAGCTATCGAGTGACACTAATGTAAACCTTTTCTCCCTTGTTCTGTTTATCTGTACAAAACTGTCATATCATCCAATTCACTTGTTATGTGCTACAATAAAATCTCTTTTTACCAGTTTAATCCTGCTTTATTGTTCATCATAACCCATCAATGTAGGCTGTGCAGCGCACACGGGCGCAGAGTCTTAGGCTCAATTTATATTGTGACGGTACGGAATGGAAGTAAATTTTTTTAACGATATTGTACATAGAATAATGCTATGTACAATACAAAAACTCGTCATCCTCATTTTGTTTCGATCCGTCGTCACTCTCTACTCAATGGCTGCAGTGAGCAGTACTGCTCGCCTAATTTTTATCCTTTTAAGACTTCCAAACCTAAATCATATGCCAATTTTAATATCAATTTAACCTAGTAACATTGTATAACTCGGCCTTTTCAGGGTAAGTCTGTCTCACGTTTTTAGTACTTATGTAGGGAGTGTTTTGTAGCGTTGTACCTGTTTTTTATACCCTTTTCTTGTTACACCTTTCTTTTTTCTTTCAACTTTACTTATGGAATAAATTATGTGGACCGAAGTATTCTATTTTATTGCCGTGATCCTGGTCACAGCACATTAGCGGTTTATAACTCCTTCAGTACTGCCACCTTACCTTTTTCTGCCGCCAAGCAGTAATGCCAGAATTCCTGTGTTCCGGTTTTGAAGGGTAAGGGAAAGTAAGGGTGCTGGTGAAATTACAGGCACATGGGACTAACTTATGTGTCAGGGTGACGGGCGCAATGGCAATGCTTCTCATATCTTTGCGATTTAAAGCTTTGAGTCACACTGCAACTGTTATGGATAGATCTTAATTTTTCTTTAAATGTCTAACCCATAACCATTTATTTCTAGAGCGATGTTTTTAGCCTTACGAAGACGTTGACTATATTGCGTAGAATAATGAGAAATAATAATACCTATACGACGGCAAGTGGTATTCGATTGCCATTGAGCTAGACAACAATAGGCATTCTCATCTCAATGATTATTATTTTTCACCAACATTATGAGTTTCAGCAGCATTTATATTGTTGTTTAGGGCTGCTGTCTTATTTAGAGTATATAAAAAGAAAGTAAGCATATATTTACTGTAACACTTCACAAAATCCATAAATTGTCATAAGATCAATTTCTTAATTGTTCATAATGTAGTAAAATTTTTCGTTCTGCATAACCGGAACGTGCTAACCATACTGCCCGATTTTAGACTTTAATATTTCTTGTTAAGTGTACTTGTTTGTAATGTAATTTTTTTTAAGTGTTAACGATTTTTGCATGTAACACAAGGGACACAATTTTGACTTATTTTTCTTATTTTTCTAGGCATTTCGCTTAGCATTTCAGCCACTTACAAGGCTTTTTTTTACTTGTTTTTAACATAATAATAGAATTTGGAAACCGGATAGGAAGATGGAGAAAACATGAAAAAAGGACCAAGCGATGAACTATGAGACATAAGTACACAACAAGTATAAATATAGAAATATATTATTATTACAATTGTAACAAAGAAATTAAAAATTTAAATGACACAACGATGCGTTTCGTTATATTCAGTTATTTCAATCAAAATGGACTTTATAACTTTTGAAATTAAGTGTAAAAATTACTTATAAAATGCATTCGAACAAAACGCAACCCGTATTTAATGCAAATTTAGAGTCTTTCAACTTAACCTTACGTATGTACTAACCATCGAACTAGGAAATAACCTATCGAATATAACATTTTTACCATTAACTCACATCTTTCATTACTCAGCATGGAACTCTTCAAACTGCTATTAATTAACATTGTAATAACTTATTAGTAGCGTTGAATCTTTCAGAATAATATAACAATTATATTGACTGTTGTGTAGCGTAGCCTTAACGAAATGAGAAAGTAGAAGGTTCGGTCCACAATTTTCATTTTAAGAAATGTTAAAAAAGGAAAAGAAAAGAGTATACCAAATAAAATTAAAGAAAAGGTACAATTACTAATTACGCACGTCTTCTCGTTTCAAGAAATTTGAATGACGGATAGAACAAACATAAGAATAGTGAACAATTCAAAACTTCAAAAATATGTGGCCAGGAACCAAAAAATAAGATTTTAAAATGGTGAGATGACGGTAAAGGAGGTCAGCATCGTCATAATGTTAATCATATTAGTGCTTGTTTTATAATACAGTACCACTGCCCCAGCACCTTACAGTTGTACATGAAGCTGTGTATAGAATACAGATCTACAGCTAGCCTTTATTTATTTGAAAAATGTTCATTACACCGATTTTGCTTATCAATAAAACTGAAAGTAAATAACATATAAATAAACCGCTTATAGGGAAGGTGTTGCAGATACGAAATGACGATGTGACCTTCCATCGTTATCACACTTTTTTATCACCTTGCCACTTGTTTTCAAATTTTGTTCTTTAATTCTTTTGCCTCGCCATTCTCATTTTGTTTCGTTCCGTCATCACTCTCTGCTCAATCTCCGTAGCGAGCAATGTTGCTCGTCTCATTTTTTATCTTTTTACACTTACCAAAAATCTCTTGCGCGATCATTCAAAAGATCACAAAAAACACTTAAAAATATATTTTTACAAAACCAGACTTATTTCCACTATTTCTTTTTCCTTTTGAATTTTTAACTTTAAACTCGCTAAGCAAGATGTGTGGAGGCTGCGGAGGCTACGTTACAGTCTATAAAGACATGCTTAAGCGGTGCCAGCAGTGCGTGACACACCTTTTCACAGATGTGTTAATAACCAATTTCGCTAAAAATGTCTACTACGTTAGTTATGATAAACAGTTCAAGATATTGCCCTAAAACAGATGAGCCATCTATCTATGTAAATTTTAAGTCTAATAACTTTGTTGCCATATACCTAACAAAGTTAATATACACAAAGTTGGGCGTAGGTATATTAACTCTCTCAAAACTCTTCTAGTGAAACATTTTAACCAAATTATTTTTTAACATAGTTTTTAAATAATAAAAGTGTACAAATTTATTGAAGATTACCTCATGTTGAAATTCACCAAGTAGAAATTAAAGCCATAGGTAAAAATGTCCCTTCAGTACGATCGGTCTACTTTCCCGATCGGTCCACTTGTAAAGTATTTAAAATGTATACATTATGTGCGTAAATCAAATACTTACCATTTTTGCGTGAGAATTGGGTAAATTAACAAATTGAATGGAATCTGTAACAAAACAAAAGACAGACTTTAATAAAAAAAAGTTGAGTAAAAAATATACGCTAGAAAGGTAAAACGTCGAACGTGCACTTGGAAAACATTACAGGAAAACGATTAAAAATATTTTTCAAGAAAAAATTTAAAGAAAAAAAATACTTCTAATCACTCTCCTCTAATATTTTCCAAATGTTTTACCTTTCCAGAGTCGAATGTAGAAGAATGCTTAATATCTACATACTCATACACACAAATAACTTTAGTAGCAGTAGAGCTCCCTGTGAAAGAGTTCTCTAAGGAAGTATACTGCCACTTTACCTATTTCTGCCGCGTTTCGGTTTTGAAGGGTAAGTGTGCTGGTGAAATCACAGGCATGACACTTTTCAACGTATGAATAAAGTTAAAATGACTCTAATTTTAACATTATTTTAAATATTAATTTTTATTTAATTTTAGATTTTGTTAGCCCTGAATATATACTAGCTAGCACTATAGTCAATATATTCCAGGAACGTAATATTATGTTTATTATGAACATTTGTATATCAAAATGGTGTCGCATGAAGCGTTCTTAATTCTATGACCACAACTGTATATGTTATATTAGTAGCACTAGAGCTCATTGTGAAAGATTTCGTCCAGGACAGTACTGCCACCTTACCTATGTCTACCGCCAAGTAATGTTAGCATTACTCTATTCCGGTTTGGAAGGGTAGGGTGTTGATTAAATTACAAACACATGGGACTTGTCAAATTACGGCTCTCCGCGATTTAAAACTCTGAGAGGCACTGCAACTGTTATGAACAGGCGTGTAGCTTTTCATCAGGTGCACGACTAGTTCATCTCGTCACTTGATATTATAAAAAAAGTAATAAATTAATATACAAAATTTCATCTTCTCCTTTTTTGTACAATAAATAGACACAAAGCAATAAATAGATTGAGGCGTCACTTTACGGATATCCATGTTAAACAAAATAGAAGTAAATTACTTACCACTAAATATATACCCACAAAAGCTTCTTATTAAATTTTATAATTTGGACCACGAGTTTATTTACATGAACCCCAAAACACGTTAATTAGGTGGTCAAACAAAAATGAAATATCCTTGCAAGCGTAGCGAGGGTACTGCCTACCGCAACTTTGCTTTCGTCAGGCTTAAATGTCACCTTATGGGTTAGTCCGACCTATTAATTTTGGTTGCGGCTTATTTTTTCCAAACTTCTGTATTCATATATACACATTCATTTGATTTTATGAGTTAGTAATCTCATGACTAGGGCCCGGATTAATATGTAATTAAAATTGAATAGAATAGAATAGAATAGAACAGAATAGAATAGAATCCATGTATGACATAACGCCAGAACACAATAATACACAGTAAGAAATAAAAAGTAAAAAAATAAAAATAAAACAGAACTAAATTAAAACTAAAACAAACTAAATTAAAACAAACAGAAAATAGAATAATTAAAAAACTAAATAAAATTAATTAAAAAGAAAATCTTAGTAATAAATAATTAAGAGGCCACAAAGCTAGTCAACACTATTATTGTACTAAGTAGATGTCATGTGTGCGGCTGTGGCGTATGTAATAGGATCCACTCAGCTAATGTCAGCTAATGGAAAAGGCTGTGACGCTGATTTTCAGTGGACCCTAAACCCTAAAGTCATTTGACACATATATGCATAGTGATAAGCGTATGGAATGTAGTATCTATTTAGTTTAGTATCTATTTACAACAAACAAGAATATCAGTACAGAGTACTACAAACACCGACCTCAAAAGTACGTGGAATTATGTCTATTTGCTAAGTTTTATTGAAATATCCCCTGGTTCGCCACTATACAGGACTTGACACTGGAGATAATAAAAATCGGTTCTCACTACTCAAAGTATATCGAGAGAAAAACGCCTTGAATTGGAGAAATAGCCAAATCAACCATTAAAGTAATTACTCCTCAATTAAAGTTAGGCGCTATTTATAAAAATGAATCTTCATGCGTGAACAGCCAACCTTCGATGATTTCCTTCAAAATGAAATGGGACCACTATGGAAGTAACCCCTTTCCAACAAAAAAGAAACCTGAAAACCGGTGAAAATACATACAAAAAAAGAACATACAGTCGAATTGACAACCTCCTCCTTTTTTGAAGTCAGTTAAAAATGGGACATATTTAGTTTAAAAAGATATCGATTGCGAGATTTGTGTCACGTGGGCGACGCAAGACGAGCGGGCAGGCGCGCGAGAGGGGCCCCGGCTTACGAGCCACAAAGTGCGGCATCTCCTTCCAGCTCCGTTGTAAGCCAACAGGTTTCGTCCTGCATCATAAGTACTTACCACACATAATAGCGTGCAGTCTCCTATGCCATAAAAGGTATGCGCCAATATTTAAAACTTCTAAAGATTGCAGATTATCATAAATAATTTTAATTGTACAATGAATTGTATATTAATTACGAAATATAAAAATTGTACTATATCAAATAGTAATAATCAGTAAAATTTCTCAGGAACAAAATAAACAACCGAAAATATCTACATAAAGATGCAATTCGCACTTGCCCCATCCCGCACGCAGAACAATGATGACGATGACCGCCGCACACCAATGCCATAAGTCGAAAACAGAGCGGTGAGTGCCCAAGTTAACTTATATGGTATTTTTTAAATATCTAAAAGATATTGTTTGTATTTACTTTTAAACGTGTGCATCGTTTGTAGACTACGGAGTGGCGGCGGCAGCAAAGCATTCCACATCTTCGCTGCGGCGAATTTGAAACTGCCACGGAATGCGGCGGCGCGACAGCGCGGCAGGACTACCGACCAAGCTGACGCTCTGGTGAAAGCTGTCTTTACGTCACTGGACCATATCAACTCGTCAGCGAAATAAGACGGGATTCTGTATTTTATAACCCCAAACAGAAGTGTAGCTAAGTGTCGATCTCTTCGCGTTTTCATTTTTAAAATATTTGCCTTGTTTATTTAAGTGGTTACGTGCGTTGTTGCGCACTCGCTGTATTACTTGTTGCGTGCGCTTCAACAGTCGCGGCCCATACACCACATCCATATAATTAAATTTTGACAGAACTAGTGAGTCACACAACTTAATGCGAATGTCGGTATTAAGGTAATTTCTTATGTCATATAATACCTTTAACCTATTGAAACAATTTTTGACGATGCCTAACACATGATTCTCAAAGTGTTTCGTCCATGAGGAGTCCAAGATTCCGAGCCTCAGTTACTCGCTCAAGTTTCACGCGCCTGATCGCCAAAGTAACATTACGTCTATGAATTTTCGCTATTTCATTTCTTATACCCAGCAGCACATGTTTGGATTTACTGCGATTTAGCACTAACGAATTTGAATCTGACCAAGAGGATATACGTTCTAAATCCTCGTTTAACTTATCCACGGCTTCAGGAGTATCACATGGTTTACAAGATATATAAATCTGTATATCATCAGCGTAAATATGATACTTGCAAAATTTTACTTGATCTATCACATCCGCGCTGTATGTTATAAAGAGAATAGGGCCTAAAATTGAACCTTGTGGTACTCCGTGCGTAAAGTCACGTGTTTTTGATAGTAATTTAGAACCACTAAGATCAGAAATTTCAACACACTGAGACCGATTTTTCAGATAACTGTCAAACCATTTGACGGTGGAGTCGGCAAATCCGTAATAATGCAGTTTAGCTAGTAGTAGGCTAACTAATGCTAATTAATGCAGTCAAAGGCTCTAGAGAAATCCAGTAAAGTTAGCAAGGTGCCTTGTCTATTGTCTTGTGCGGATAGGATATCATCAACTACTTTAATCATAGCTGTTGTCGTACTGTTTTTTTCTAAACCCAGATTCTACGGTAGGAAGAACTTCGTTACTTTCTAGAAAGTTTGTTACTTGTTTTGCTACAATTGTCTCAAGGACCTTGGATACACAAGACAGTATGCTTATGGGCCGAATATCTCTCAAGATGGAAGGGTTGTTAATTTTAGGAATAGGCCTTATGACTGCACGCTGCCAGTCCGCATGGAACGTGTTGGTTTCTATAGATCTGTTCACCATAGCTGTAACAACAGGCAGTATGACAGGTAACGACAACAGTAACATGTCCAGTAATATCCTGTCGAGACCAACCGCGTTTGACTTCAATGATCGCATGATTTGCAGGACCTCATTGTTTTCTACTGTTGTTAGTGATAATTTTGTGGTTATCTTACTATTTTGCTGAAAATATGTTATATCTGATAGTAATGTCTGTTGACTACCGGGCACATTCAAAAAGTGGTCGTTTATTAAATTAGGATCGTTAAAAATAATGATAATAATAATAATAATTTATTGATCAAAGAAAAATGATTTACAAGTGCATTACAAGGCACAACATAAAAAGAAACATAAAAATATAGTAAAGAAATGCCAATATTTGTGATTCCCTAACTCCTAAACTAGGTAATCCTGTATCTTAGGAGTTAGTGATTCCTTCAACATTGAGTGCTTAAATAGTACACACGAATAGCTTCAGTAGCAAATAAGTGTATTGAAATAAGTGTACTGTAATAAGAGTTTTACCTTGTAATTATTGTAGTGTGTATTAATTGAAGTGTGTGTTTTGGGTGTAAGCGTGTGGAGTGAAATATGTGTAGGTAGCTCCGCTGTACTTTTTATGTTAACATTTTTTTTATATGTGCCCATAATACTCGAGAATCGTTCTGTTTATTTACGTAATGATTGTAGTAAGCCTTTTTTTCACTTACCAACACATTAACAACTTTTTTGAGGTCCTCATAGTAAGATTTTTGCGAGTCATTGCCACTGTCGTGCCGCAGCATGCGCTTCGTCACGGCGCTTTACAAGTTGTTTCACATTGTAGGTAATCCACGGGTACTGGCGCTGTTTGGCATGTAATATCCGAAGGGGAGCATGAACATCGAACAAACCCACCAAACATTCACTGAATTGCCTCACCATATCATTGACATCCTCTAAG